CCGCGGGCTGACAAATCCGGGCCACTGGCTTTGCTCACAGCACAGAGGGCTGAGTGCAAATGTGGCCCAGACCAGCAAGATTTACAAGCTCAATGGGAAAACCCACCACATTTTTGTATGATTACAGAAGAAAATGAGCTAAAAATACTTACTTTGTTTAGAAAAAGTCAAACACTCTAGAAGAACTATTTGACCTTTGCAACACAGAAGCATGATTTAAGTTTTGGCTGGATTTCCTATAAGTTTGCTTACTTCCTCATTTTTGAAAGATTGTCATAAACTATTTTAGCTACCTTTGGGAAAAGAAAAGTTTAACAAACTTGTATTTTTAGCTCATATTCTAATTCGGGGCATTGTAGTCAGGATAAAACAATCCAAGAATAATTCATAGATAAGATGCAACTTTCAATAAAATGTTTCAACTGTAATCAGTTTTCAGGCAAGTCAATTATGAAAAAGGGTTTATATCCATCCTAAATGTGTGTTCAGAATTTTAAGTTTTGTTGCTGTTTGTTCCCAGTGGAAGGAATAGAAGCGGGCTCCTGGGTGATGGGGCAAATGTTCTAACACCAAGACGGATCCCAACCCCCGAAATATGGTAAAATAACTGTCACAGAACAGTTGCTTTCTACATAGCCATCTGTAGATATGCACAGGCTAATTTGTAAATGTAATAGAATTGCGTTTTAGACTAACAACTTCACATTAACTTTTTTACACCTGTGCAAGTGAAAATAATTTCTTCCTGAAGTAACCAGCAAAAGGTCTGTGACACCCTGAAACAAATTTTCAGTATTCTACACCAAAATCCTTCATTTTGTGCAGTAGGTTTTACTTTTACACTTACAATCCTTGGCTAAGAGTGCAAGGAGTGCACAGCCTACCCCTGCTGGAAGCCCCAACCACCAGTTCCCCCCGCCATTGCATTTCTTCTAATTCTTGCGGTCCATTTCCTATATCATTTTTCTTTTATTGTCTCACTACATAGACAGAACCTGTTCTGTATGTAGCCCAAGCTGGTCTTGAACTCATGAACTTCCTGGCTCATCCTCAGGGTGCTGGGCTACTCCCTATGGTAATTTGACCCCCTAAATTTGACTCTACCGGTCACTGGGAGAAGATGGTTGTGGTAACTGCCTCTATTCTGGGGATTTTCAAGAATTCTATCAAGGACACTTGGGTCTCATTTTGACCTTAGCCTTCTAAGGGAAACCGGAAATTCCTAATTGCTGAGAGGGAAGGGGTGAGCAAGCCTCTCATTGAAGGGAGAGCAATTTACTGAGAATGATAGAAACAGTCACCCCACTCCAAGAAGTTTCCAGTTTAGACTTGATCTGAAAAGTATAAACATTAAAACTGCACCACACAAAAATGCTCATACTAAGGAGGAACTGTCTGTGCCTCTCGCTCAAGCCCATCTCTCACAAGGCCCTGGGACCCAAGCTGGAAGGCCGTCCTACACCGACGTCCTCACAAGGTCTCACCGACCTGCAGGAGCCCCGCAGCGGGCACCGCAGGCCTGGAAGACCATACAGTCAGTTCCCCATCTCGCAAAGGTGCTTAGTCGCAAAGGCGACTTCTGAGAATCAAAATGGCTTTTGAAATATAAAAACTGTGCGTAACTGAAGTGAACGTAAAACGTAAAGCGCTTATATAATGAAAAACCTTCTACCAAAATCCTGCAAACTGTAGTAAGGGTGATACAGAAATGGGTTTTAAATTTCTTTCAGTTTTCCATGTCAGTATCTTTGGAGTCCCATTTATTAGCGTTTTCCCTCATGGATATTAGTGTAAACGGCCACAGGAAGGTGTGCTTCAGATAGGACTGACCGCTAATGAAAGTTCTTAAGGACACCAGAGGGAATGGCCAAGTTCCCACACCACCACGCAGGAAGCAGGTGAACGTAGCATGATCTCACGGCAAAGACCGACCAAAGAACATTGCCTGCTGCTATCCACACACTGAGACTTGCCCTTTATACGTCTTGCTCTTTGAAAGTGGAGAGCACTTTCTGGTTTTGAGGTGGGGTGGGGGGGAGCATTTTGATAACAGTACTACGTTTTGGACTTAGGGCCCTGTCCCTTAGCTCTTCTTTCTTTAAGGCTGGGGTTCTGCCACTTGAGCCACAGTTCTACTTTTTGATGGTTAATTGGAGATTAAGTGTTGTGGACTTTCTAGACCTGGCTGGCTTTGTTTTGTTTTTTTTTGGGTCCGGTCGTGGGGCCTGAACTCTGGGCCTGGGCGCTGTCCCTCAGCTCTTCAGCTCAAGGCTAGCACTCTACCATTTGAGCCACAGTGCCACTTCAGCTTTTTTTCTTTTTGCTTATGTGGTGCTGAGGAATCGAACCCAGGGCCTCATGCATGCAAGGCAAGCACTCTACCACTGAGCCACCTTCCTAGCCCCCTGGCTGGCTTTGAATCATGATCCTCAGATCTCAGCCTCCTAAGTAGTTATGATTACAGGTGTGGCCACTGGCACAAAGCCCTGGCTTTAGTTGTTCTTGTCTGCCCTGTTGCACACTGGCTCTTCCTTGCTTCATCTTTCCTGACGTTGTGTGGGCATGCTACATGCTTTGTGATCAAGGACAGTGGGGCTTGCTGAATTTATCCTTCTCTTTCCCCTCTTCCCCAAAGGCAGACACGGAGTTCCACAAGGCAACAAAGCAGACTTGAATGCCTCTCCCCCAAAGCAAAGCCTAAACCCAACAACTACAACCTTTGTCCACCACCTTTCTGTGTGCGAGCCGGCCCTCAAGACATCCTGACTGCGGCAAGGTGTCTGAAAGAGCTTGATACAAGTTCCTGCTCTACTCTGCCCGTGAAGAAGGGACACCACACCCCGGAGCTGCTGAGTCCTCATCAGACCTGCTGGGTTCTTCGGGGCCTCCCACCAAGGAGACGTCTTAACGGCTGCCCACACCTCACAGAACCTATGCCTGAAAACCGACCGCGTTCCCTGGGTTTGGAAGTATTTGGGTCTGAATTCAGGCCCTTGAGCTTGCTAGGCCAGCACGACTCCCCCCCACCCCCTTCTTTTTCTGGGTAGGGTCTGGCTTCTGCCGAGCTGCTCTCAGACGCAACCCTCATTCCTTGGACCTGTTACACAGCCGAGATCACAAGCGTGAATGCGCACACCGGCTTAATAACTGAGCTAGAGCTAAGCGTGGGACAGCGACAGCGACAGAAGTGTCTCTCCTCTGCCCCTCCATCTGTCCTATGATCACATGAACACACATGACATCAGAAAAGCCCAAGTCCATGAATCCGAGCTCCTCAAAATTTAACCCCATACTGAAATTTCATAGTTAATGTGTTTTCTGTATAATTGTGTCTGGTTGAAAACAAGGAGGTGGACAACTTATTAACATACGGTATATGCTGACATACCCAACAAATCAGTATTTAAGTCTAGCATGTTTAAAGTAAATTCTACAGAACCTATCTCCTTAAGGTCTTCTTTCTGTCCTCCTCCCCTCCCCGCAGAGGGATTTGGCCCGGCATGGGCCTTGGTGCTCCAGGGAGGCGAAAACTCAGCCCAACCAAGGCTCGTCTTTTCTAAAGCTTTACTGTTAGAAAAATCACAACTACCTTCTTAGTCAAGTGTGAAATAGTGACATAAAAACACTTCATTCCCAGGCTGAAGAGCTGGTTGAGAGCAGAGTAGGCAAAGGGGAGGGCAACTGACCATCATCACTTTTACCTTGCAGGACTTCTTTTTGCCAGTCCCAGGGTTTGAACTCAGGGCCTGGGCGCTGTCCCTGAGACTCTCTGTCCTCAAGGCTAGTACTCTACCACTTGAGCCATGGCATCACTTCTGGCTTTTTCTGTTTATGTGGTACTGAGGAATAACCCAGGGCTTCATGCATGCTAGGCAAGCACTCTACAACTGAGCCTCCTTCCCAGCCCCTTACAGGACTTTTAGTTGAGTTAGTTTTGGGTCCATTTATGTAATAAAAGCCTCCTTTAAGGAATGCTCCAGAGAAAATATAAAGAAAAAGAAATCTCTGCAGATATTCAAGGCAATGTAGCCCTCACATCGAAGGGGTACTGGTGTGGTATACACTGAGAATGTGTATTCTGTCTACTGTGGTGCAGATTAGACTGGTTCCGACCTGCTCCCTTCCATGGTCTTTTGATTAGACACAGGCACTTACGACATAGACAAGGCAAACAGAGTTCAAGTTAACTCTCCCCTCTGCGGCTGTCTACCTTTCTGAGCATGGCACTCCAGTGGAGGTGCTTGCTCTCTCCAAAGCGAGTGGCGTTTGTAGTCAGTCCCCTCCCCTGGCTGCAGGGTGCAGGGAGAGCTGTGCAGAAGACCAAGGGCTTGACAGCCACCTCTGTCCCTCTAAGGGAAGGATCGCTAGCGCTTTGTTTCTGCAGAGGACCGTGCCTGTAGAGAATGCCTGGGTTTCAAGAACGAGCCCTTCACACGCATTAGACAGGAGTCTGTGTGAGGAAGGGAGCACCACTGGCCGCCATCTTCACCAGCACCTGAGGCGCTCACAGCAGTGCAGCCGGGGTTCGCAGGGAGAAACGAGCCCGCGGCCCCACCCCAGGGGAGCCCTCTTGGGCCTGACGGATTTGGCCTCCTCCTCTGAAATGTCCACTAGAAGACTGCCTTGTCCCAGCCTCGTGACTGTGTTTACCCCCAGCACACGGCTCCCACGTTCCTATGTTCAACCCAGTACTTCCTTTAAGACACCAAGAAATCCTATTTTCAGCCATTCAAGTTCAAGTCAGAGCTACTCTGAGCTGACAGAATATGCAGTGAGCCAGCCCACTTCAAATGTGGACGACAAGTGTGCCAGTGAAGACGGGAGGCAGCAGAGGTGGACTGTGAAAAGCCATCGTCACTGTGCATCTTGGTAGAAAGAAGACTCCAAGTTATAATCTCTGGCTAATCTACACTGAGGGCCCTGGAATACAAGTGTCTCCTTTTCTAACTCATTTTCTTTTTTTCCCTTTTCCAATGCTAAAACATCATAGAAGAGCCTACCTGACATTTTGGAGAATTGGCTGTGCTGCGATTGATATTCCGCATTGCCTAAGAGTAAAAAATAAACGGATAAAAATTACTTTAAGCCACATGGTTTGGCTGTGTAGGCTTACAAATTGTATCCAGACATATCACCAGAGCACAGAATTCCCAAGCTACCGAGAAGCAGAGGACTCAGGAAGACAGGGGCCAGGGAGTCACCACAGAACAAAAACTAAAACCTCTGCAGTTCAAACAGCTTTATGACAGATGGCAAGGCTGCAGAGCTCAGGAGCCAGGCACCTGGCGGGAAGGGCTGGGGCTCCACAGTGGAGCTGTTGCCCACAGGTCACAGAAGCCAGTCACTTCAGAGACACTGAATTTACACTGATCACTAACAGAGACACAGAAGAATTCTTTAAAAACTGACTGTTAGTATGAGCACAGAGCACATTTGTCACCTCAACGCAAGGCAAGACAGGACAGTAGCAAGAAAAAAAGAAGAGGTCACCTATGAAGAAGCGAAACCAAGCTGTCCAGGACCCATCACCCAAGGTAGGGACAAGAAGATTTAGAGAAAGTCCTCAGAAAGAAGGGTTAACAAGTAGCATTTTTGCCCACCAGAAACAAAACAACCACACTGATGTTGGCATTCACGAAAATTGTGGATGACTCATCAAGACTTTTAAAACAAAAACATTAAGACTTTGACATCACTAATTAAGTAACTTGTTTAAGTGTCTCAAGTTGGATAGGCTTCCATCACGTGCAAGTGAAGCCTGCATTTCCTTAGACCCATCAGTACTCATCGGTAACACAGTAAGAAGCAAACCTTGAAACAGGCTGTGTAGACACAGTGCTGAATTGTCACATTTCTCTAATATTCATATGGTTAAATGCCTCATGTGTTACCCTGCTCTGACAATGCAGTCTACTTGAATACGCACCCTCTTTACTAGCCCAAGGGCCAATTACTGACAGAGCAAAGTCACTGGAGAGCGAGCCGGTCATGAATTCCTTAGGTACCTATCAGCTGGCTCCTCACAACCCACAGCAGAGCTCAGAGATGGCGCAGGTTCACGCATGGTTGGTTAGGGGAGGGAGGGAGGACCCAGAGCTCCCTAACTGACACTCGGGAGACAGGAAAAATACAGTGAGACTATCTATTGTACTTTCACATTTTGTACATTCTTACCACTGTATAATGTTTACTATCTATCCAAAACTATTTATACAAATGCTTAAGAAAAACTTATTCTGCTAATATGACAAAAACCCTCAATAGCTAGGTATTTTAAACGCGCTCGAACAAGGCAAGTTAAACACTGTTTTGACCATGCTTGCCTAGCCACCCGCAGCCCCTTTCCCCGCTGCTAGACGGGCAACTCTACTGCTAAGCCCTCTTAGCCAAAAATTCATTTTGAGAAGCGGAATGAATTATCTCAGTCTGGACCTCGAGCTCTCTACCATCATGAAAAGAACAAATCAGAAGAGGGAGTGTATTAATTTGTTTTTGTTTCCATTTCCTGGAGTTCACTTCCATACTAAGAAGGGAATTTTAAGACATGTGAATCTTCTACGTTTGGGGAAGACCAAGAATGTATTTTACAAGATTTTGCAGACTGAGGCGCACAACACACATGCCTGGCATTCAAGGCCGTGTCACAGGTGTCCTGTGGCGTGAGGAAATGCTGTGCTCAGAGCAGAAGCAGCTCTCCCCCTGCTGTCCCCGCGCCGCTCCTGGGTGGTGAGGAATACGGGACGCCACAGCCCGAGCCCCGTTCCAGGGAGCGTCCCCGTGCTTCCTGTCTCGCTGCACCACACCGCCCATGGCCCACGAGTCTCTTTGTAACACAGGATTACAAGCAGCGATGCTGCTTGTAACAACGCTGTGATCTGGGCACCATGGGCTGCGGTGACCCCCACTTTACAGTGTTCCTCCACAACCACTCAACGCTGCGCTGAAGTCTGCCCGAGTTCATGAAAGAAAAGCGGAAGGCTGGTGTCTACCTGTGGCCTCACCTGCCGGAGCAGCTCCTGCTGCTTCAGCCGCAGCCGCTCCTTCTCCATCTGCAGCTGCTGCAGCCGCATGTGCTGTTGCTGGTTGGATCCCCCGCCTCCCAGGAGGGCTCCCTGTGGGCTCTGGGGTGCCAAGGGCGGCGGCTGCTTCACAGGGGCGCTCTGACTGATTCTCTGGTTCATGGCTGAAATGAGAGGAGAGAGCATCCTAAACAAGTCTGCTGACAGGACGATGTAGTTATTACTCCACAGCACCTGGAGAAATGTGATGGAGCTGCTTGGGTCTGGACAGCAGCACTAGGTACAAATCACCTAGGAGTCCGCCAAGATCACTGCGGCTGGATCAGGTGATCACTGCTGAACCCGTGGCACAGGCAGCATGGGAGAGCGCGCGCACGGGAACGGGCAGAAAGTCTTAGCTGTGAAGAGAGGTCTGAGCGTGTATTTGTGTTTTCCGGGCCTGGGGCTTGAAGTCAGTGCCAGCACCGTCCTTGAGCTCTTTTGTTCAAGGCTAGCACTCTACCCACTTAAGCCACAGCTCTGCTTTCTGGTGTTTAACCGAAGCCAGGGTTTCCCGGACTTTTCTGCTGGGGCTGGCGGCAGCCCTCCAGCTAGGATGATGAGTGAGAGTCACTGGCACCTAACTGCAAATAATCTGCAAGACTGTAAATAATCTCTTTAGACTGAAAGCCGTGACGAAATCAGTATTACAAGATGAGCTTATTCAATGTAAGCCAGACACAGCACCACACACCCTCGGCATTCCTGTGCAGACCCGTTGTCTGTACTCAATTTTCTCAGACCTATGGCATGTACTATTTGGAGGTTGCATTTTTACTACTGACACAACACTGAAGGAAGGACATCTCCCGATGGTCACGAAACCCGGCAGACACCTGTGCAGAACACGGAGCAGGGGATTGGTGACTTCCAGTTGTGTTAGTTACATGCTGTGTGTGAGCTCAGGGCCCGAGCAGCACTACAAAGACTCCACGAGGAGAGCCACTTAACCAACTCAGGGAGCAGTGGCGCCACTCGCAGGCTGGGGTTTCTTCGCCCTGAAGCATCCTGTTCTCCATCATCTGAGCATCTTAATGAAGCATCAAAGCACACAGTGCAGTGGGCACGGAGCACCTGAGACCGCACACGCAGCAAACAGCTGAACCGGAAGCCAGGCCGGGCGCTTCCAACCTCCGCCCTGTGTCTCCAGTCTTTACCTTCACAAGGTAAAGAGAAAAAGACTCCACACAAGATGTCAGAAGGGCTGTACTGTGAAGCTGAGGATGTGTCTGGGACTCCCAAGGAGAGGCAACTGCTCTGAATTTTACAAAACACAAAAGTCCTGACAGCTTTTTGGCAGCAAACCAACCACGTAGCAGTTCTGAAAAAGAGACCACCTCCTTCAGAGGGAGGAGGAGAGGATCTTCGACAGAACATCTCTGCCCAGGGTCACTGACAACATCCAACTTTCAAACTGACATAATTTGTATCCTCAAACCCCTGGACCCATACAAAGCATTACAAACAAGTCACTCAGTTTTGAAGACTTTGGGGTAACAAATTAATTTCTAATATCTTAAGTATACATTTAAAATTAGGAATTATTTTTGAACTACTAAAACATTAGGATCTTGCCATCCTCAGACAATTTAATGAATACTTTTCTGTTCTTATCTCTCTTGGTAGTTGTAGTGCTTAAAACTCAGGGCCTGGGCGCTGTCCCTGAGCTCTATCACTCAAGGCCAGCACTCTACCACTTTGAGCCACAGCTGTACTTCCAGAGTCTCATGGACTTTCCTGTCCAAAACCGGCTTTGAACCGTGAGCCTCAGATCTTACATTCTTGAGTAGCTGGGATTACAGGCATGAGCCACCAGTGCGAGAGCCTAATGAATACTTTTCTGTTCATCTTTAAAACAGTGAACCTCTGGCTCATACCTACAATACTGCTCGAGCTCCTCAGAGCAGAGGCCTACGGGATCAGAGGCAGCAGGGCAGCACAGTCTGCATGACTCCCTCTTCAGTTAGCCAGCAAAAAAGCCAGGCTAGAGGTATGGATCACCTACGTAGCCCAATACCAGATGAGAGCCTACCCGCAACCTCAGCAATCACAAGTTAAGTCCTGGTACCAGGGAAAACAAACAACCAACAAGGAATGCCCACTGCTTACTACAAGGGATCAGGGATCTGCAAAATTTCAACTCACGGCATGGGAAGGTGGCTCAGTGGTAGAGTGCTTGCCTAGCATGCACGAAGCCTGGGTTCTATTTCTCAGTACCACATATACACAGAAAAAGCTACAAGTAGCGCTGTGGCTCCAGAGTGCTAGCCTTGAGCACAGAGCGGCTCAGGGATAGTGCCCAGGCCCTGAGTTTAAGCCCCAAGACTGGCAAAAAAAGAAAAAAAAAAAGCAACTCATTGTCACAATCTACCATTTTCTAATGCTGGCTTCTCGGAACAAATGACTACTTGACTCACCATCATGGCACTGAAAAGATCAGCAGCGATTCGGTCCACAATGCAGGCACAAGCCTACCCCCCCACTCTGACGGAGGCAGGGTCCGGAGGTTGAGGCCAGAGTGTGTGATCTACCCGGACGGGGCACCAGGGCCCGAACCTGAGGACTCATGTCTTGACTATCAAAATGCATAGGCCGGTGCCTAACACGCACCTAGACTACGTACCTAAGTCGTAGCACCACACCTGGGGTCCTCTGGGGTGAGGGAGTCCGTGTACCGAACGGCTTACCATGTTAACATGCATGTTCCGGGGCTTTTCCTAGGTGGACACATCTGCGCAGCCCACTACACCATCCCACTCCACAACTTTTAACCCTCCAGTTGCCACGCCTGTGTCGTGGGCAGCTCCCCCCACTCCTCCCTCAGCCCCCCCTGACCCTGCTCTACCGCCTGCGGTTCTCAAACGTGTCCACAGCTTTCTTTCTGTATGGACATCAACTGTCAACCCCGCACAGCTACCGCCACACGGAGCCCGACAAGTTTCCAAAGCCGCTGCCTCACTCGGGCACCCAGCTGCCGTGCGTGAAGGTGCGCGCCGCCTCCACGTGCGGCTCCTCGGCTGTCAGTCTTTCTCGGCCAGTCCACGCGTGGTTCAGACAGTGGTGCACTGTGCCTCGTGGGCCACGGCCATTCATCTCCTCTGGTCTGGATGCTTCTCTCAACTCCACCTCTGCCCTTCCCTAACACCAACTCCTGAGCACCCCCACAGAGGATAAGTATTTCCATCTATAATTGCTTAAAAACAGGGATGACGAACACCAATACTTGGCATCAGCCAACTTTTCCTCCGGAAAGTCTGGCTTAATCCTCATGACAGTGTTACTTTCCAAACAATACACTTATGGATGGCACAACACTAGCACTAATGCAAGAGAGCACGTTCTCCTCATCACCTCATCCAGCACTTCAGGCAGGGAGGGAGGGGAGGCAGGGTAGGAGGGCTGCTCAGAGAACCCCTGCGCCCCTTCTAGAAAACACACCTCGAGACTCGCGTGGAACCAGTGTGACTACTGCCGTAAAGAGAAGGGAGTCACACTCGAGAATTCAGGTTAGATTAAGGAACAAGCAAATTCATTAATCACAGCTTGACTTCCAATTTCCTACTAGTTGGGAGCACTTTTCACTGGATGCATCTGTAGTCCGTGAGACACAGGAACCTTGGCGCTCGGCCATGTTCCCTACAGAACCTCACACCCGAGGTGTGGCACACATTTTACTGTGACCTCTTACTTGCTTCCTCCGCAGCTCCATCTCCATGGCCCGTGGGCCCCTGCCACTCAGACCTGAGATCCTGAACAGACCATGGGTGCAGGGGAGTCTGAGCACAAGGACTTCTGAAATGGCCTCGGCAACCCCGAAAGCATAACAAAACGAGTCAGAGATAAAACCCAGCCCAGCACCACTCCTGTGCTAGGTCAGTCTAATTTCCTTCACAGAGATAGGCCTTGGGGGGGGGGGGGGTATTTGCTTCTCCAATCTCCTCTTTGCTTTTATCTGAACTGGGGAGGGGGTAGCCAAAGCAGGCCCGCCCTCTTCCCAGGGTACTTTAACACAAACAGAACTGGAGACAACTCTCCTCTAACAACAAAGGTGTGCTCAGTAACGCCAGTCCTGGCGACATGAAGCTCTTAAATTACACAAATTGCGAAGTTAATAACAGAAGAACAACAGAATATTCTTTACACAACTATCTGGGCTGCCGAGCCACCCATCCAGCACAAAGTACACACTAACTTCATCCACATGGGCCTGCATGCCAGGGGAGGTGCAGGAAGGCTTGCCATAGAACTTTGGTGGTACCAGCCTACTGAATTTCACACCAACTTTTCAAGTGAATAAGGCTGCTCAACTCAAGGAGTACGTGAGTGCTGCTACTTATTCAGTAGTCTTCCAGACTTAAAAAGTGTGACCAGTGCCAGCCTTTAACAGTGGGCTTCAACCTGACTGCTATGGGCAGACTAGCTAAGCTTCAGGTTCACTTACATTAGATTTTCAACTGCATCCATTTACAGATGCTCTAAAATTGAAAACAAACAAAGCATACCTCCAAAGCAACACTGCCAATGCAGTAAAAGCTCCAGCTGCTAAAGACCCGGCTGAGAAAGGTACAGCTACAGCTTCCCTAATCCCCCCTACATTCCCCCCCCTCCAATTTGGCTTCCAAGAGATAGGGCTTATCTTCAGATTAGAGGTGAGAGATATCGCACCCCTCTTCAAAAGTAATTCCCAAGGACCAGAAGACCAAAAGCTGAATTGAGAAGGTACAATAAATAGTTCAAAAGTTATCTCCTAAACCCTTGTGCACTCAGATTAAGGGTATTGAAAAGTAACTTCCAGGAGGAGAACTCACAGTACAGCCCTCCCCCTCCCCCACCCCAAGACTGGGCACATTCCTAAGGGTGTCCAGTTTAATCCGCTCACATCTCACACACCAGCCAAGCTAAGTCAAGGCAAGTTAGTTGTCTTTCTGAACCACTTGGTAACTTAGTGCTATCAGAAAAACCTGGGTCTCTCTCTTGTGTTGGACTTAGGGCTTCAACTCAGGTCCTGAGCGCTGAGCTTTTGTGCTCAAGGCTAGTGAAGAGGAGGATCTCTGGTGTTAATCTGGATTTTCCTGCTGGGGCTAGCACCCACCACTGCCCTCACATCAACCTCCTGAGTAAATTT